AACTACACAGGGGTTTTCTATTTGGTCTTTTTGTTTTCATGATTAAGATTTTAATATTGGTTATTTTTTGCAGGTGGGATGGGACGCCGAGTATTTTTATATTATGGTCTGAAATTACCGAAACATCGTGGTAGTATCGATGATAAACCAGTCGCGGCTCTTCATAACTGGATAATAGACGTAGCAAAGAAAAAAAAAGTCCCCTCCAGATATACATTTGTGTACATGTGCATCAGCTCTATAATTAAATGTAGAATTAAAAAAATGGCTTGTGAATGCGTGTTATTCTACACGACTGTGAAAGACTTATCTGACATAGCAACATGGTAATTTATGCACGCATTTCAACAGGTGATATTTCGGCTGGTAGCCGCGCTAGAAAAAATAAAGATTTGCAAGAGACAACGTGTGACGACCCTCTAAAGTGTTGGGAGCCTCAAAAATGTGATGGCAAAATTTCACTTAAACTGTATCATAATGTGAAAAAAGGATGTCGTTTAAGAAACATTTCTGCAAGGATTTTCAAACCAAATATGTTTGAAGTCAGATATTGATGAAATAATACAAAATTAAGGTTCACTGCGTACAACAGAGAACCTAAATTATGTATTCATTTATTAATATTTATCTTCAAACACATTGGGGATGGGGGAATCATTGCAGAAGTGTGTCTTAAATGACATCCTCTTTCACATTATGATACAATATTTAAGTGAAATTTGCCATCAAATTGTTGGCGAATGTGGGGCTCCCAGCACAATAGAACGGCTTTAAGATCATGTGACACGTACATAAATTTCCCTTTTCCTCTCTCTCTCTGAATTGCGATTTCTTAAATAAAATATAACCTTGATAAACTTCGGTGGCTAATAATTCTTTGTTATGTTTTCAATGATATTCCCTACATGTTAAAATTGTTAAATCTTTCTTGATGTAGTATGCCTCTCTTGTAAAAGTGATAATTTTTCGGCTACCTTACGGATCGAAAACTTGAAAAGGGCTCACGAACACGAAAAATAATGGGGGCACAGATTTTTTCGTAAAGACACTGGATCTTTAAAAGGGAGTACTGGCGGTGGTGTCCCCTCTAACTCGTCACGCTTCTCGGAGATGTGGGATACCTTTCCCTTTAAGTTGCCACCCCTTCGCTAAGGGATATAGCTCACGTCTTGCAAAGCCGTGTCGAATTTGCTTTTGCTATTAAGCCCGAGAGTAATTGTAAATAATGGCAACATCAAGACTCGCATAAACTGCGCGGCATTAGAAATATAAACTTCTCAATAAAACAGAGAATATGCAAATGGTTCTGGTTTATTTAACGGCTTAAAGGTGGAGTGTTGTACTTCATGGTACAAACGAAGATGTTTTTTGTATTTTGTTTTTAATTGCTTCATTCCCACCACCGGCATCCACGTAGGTAGAAAATGGCGCCTGATCAGTCCTACCCCATCCGTCCGTTTTCTCTCTCATTTTCTTTTCTATTACCAGTTCTCAACTTTTTATGTTTAATTTGTTGACGGGAAAAACAAAGCTCCACGATTGTGCATTTCATTTACGTGAATACAAAGTGGTGTGTCATTCTAAACGGAAAAGCCGAGCGATCAAAATTCAACTTACGTATATACACATGTCCCCTAACATCATAATTGACAAGTGTGTCACGTCAGAATGGTATTTGTTCTTCCATTACGTAACAATGTCAAAAAAATGCTCCACTAAGAGTATGATATTCATGTTCGCTAAGATGATATCCATTTTGCATGTACCATTATTGTAGCCTTGTTGGTCCTATAATCTTTATTTAATTACCCAAATGTAGTGATTTAGAAGTACTTGATATTCTCGTCTCGCATGAATGCGTTTATGATTTGAACTTTTTAGCAAGGATTGAATCGTGTCGCATACTCCCGCTTTAAGAAATCATCCATTGTGGAGAGCGAAGAAGGTTTTTAATCGAAAACTGGTTCCACGATTTGTTACAGAACAAAATTCATATTAGGAAGCAAAATTGAAGCGGGAAAGAAAGGGAAGAGAGTGAAAGAGAGGGAAGAGAGTGTAAAAGATGAAAGAGAGAAACGGAGAGAGAGAGAGAGAGAGAGAGAGAGGGGTGATGGAAATGGGCAGAAAGGAAGGGGGTATAGAGAGAGAGAGAGAGACATAAAGAAGTAAAGGTGAGACAGGGTGAGAGAAATTGGTAGTAGTAGGAGAGAGAAAAAGAGAAAGAGATAGAGGGGATGAGGAGAGAGAGAGAGAGAGAGAGAGAGACAGAGAGAGGTCGCGAGTGAAGAGAGATAGTGAGATCAAATCAAAATGAAAAACGAGAAAATAAAGCTATAATGTAAAGGACAGACAGTGAGTAAGATAAGAAAGACACAAAGCGAGAAATAGAATTGCGAGTACCTAGCAGTACTTTAAACTACTTAATAACATTCCATTTATCAAACTATTGTTTTAAGAGACCCTGTTAAACCCTCCATAATAGAGAAACGAATTAATGCAATTAAAACGGCATTATCAAACCGAATGTCAACAGAGTCTATGATCCAAAGGGTGAAAGGTTGCGGAGTTTGATCTACAGTGTTTGCTAAAGCACTCACTTTGAAAATTAAATATCAACACAACTGGAGTTTCCTGTATTAACATGTACAATATCAAGAAACAATCATCCACTTTTGTACGTTTTGTTACAGTATTACAGATACAGGTATTTGGAAGGAACGAGGGGATAATTCCACGACCTAAACCCTGTATTACTTGAATATTCAATATGCTATAATTTCATTTACTCTATTTTAATCTCATTATTCATAAAGATGAAAGCATTAATTCATCTTCTCGGCAAACATTTTTAAACACACACGCTAACATCCGCACTCAATGCAACAACGTATATACACACACACTCGTACAGCAGACAGAAATTAAAAATCTCCACAATCATCGACATTTCCAACATCGCCATTAAAAATCCTCTCAATTCACGTATTACACATCACACGGGAGCAATATATCATCTAAATCTAGTATCACCTAATTAGTGAATAGAATAACTGATCTCGTTTTATGAAGATTAAATGTGTTTGTGTCACCAACTAATTATCAATATCACTCGCTTATCACACGCTTAACAAGAGTATCAGTTTACCAAACGAATCTGAATTGGTTCTTAATAGCGTAAAGACAACTCAAAACGACAATGTCAATTTGTTTTACATTTTACACCGTCAAAAACGCCGCAATTGTTCGGCCATATTTATTCATATTTTTTTTTCTCACAAAGTATAACAAAAAAGTAGATTTTCCCCAGGTAGATACACAAACAGAAAGAAAATATAGAAGATACAATCATTCGAAATTAATAGTTTGAAAGAAAAAAAAGGTCCCGACAGCTTTCCAGTTCCCAAAGCACCCACGAGAGATTTTGTAAATTGAATAATCATGATTAGTATAACAATGCTTCTTTATAAATATCTTAGTTGGCAAGCGCCCATTTCTGTTTTACCATTAGAAAAAAAGTGTGGGACTGCTAACCGGGGAAAGCACTATTTGTTTTCAAAATCAAATAACGGCCACTTTCGTGAGACAGATATTTCTTCATTAGAACGCAGAGCACCTATAATGCATTCATGAAAATGGAAGGTGTTTTTCTATATAAGGAAACAGTGACGATTACTTTTCAACATGATTATAGTAGTGCACCAGAAAATGTGAATAAACTTTTGAAAAGTTAGCGTTGAATTTTCGAACAAACAATCCGGGTCGTATATTTCCAAGATATCAGTAATGTCACGAAGAAATACCGTCAAATTTCTCATTCAAAGTTATTCACTTTTTAGCATGAAAAGAGATACTAAATGTTGCACAAGTAAAGAACGAATGTTTTCGTACAAAAATAATACCAGAATTGAAAACGCTAGTTTCACAGCCTCATGTCTTTTTGGATGAACAATAAAATGTCTATTAGGCAGGTGTGCAAAATCTGCGAAACGGACATCAGAAATACTCAATATGTATACACTTAACACAATGCAATTTTTCTGTTTGCTCGTTACAGAAAACCAGAAAATATACATGATGAAATTATTCTGAAGGTTAAACTTGAATTGCAGTGGAACAAAAAAAACCTTTCGTGTCGTAAAGTTAAGAAAATCTAAAACAAAAATTCAGCCCGTTTCGTCGCATACTATTAATGGTCTACAAGGTTGTGAATTATATGTAACATATTAAGGCAGTATTCGTACAAATTATTTCTCCACTTTCGCCAAAAATAGTTAAAAGTGAAGGAGAATAAACATATCACTATAAAAGAATATCTAAATTGAGACGATGTTTGTTTAAACTCTGGATACTTTCAAGGTATTGTCATGATTCTGTTTACGCCTGCGTAGAGCAACTCAATAGTGTCTTTACAAACTCGATAATTATTTCCCGAGAAAAGAAAAACCGATGCCAAAATATACATACAAATTAGCTAAGAATCATTTTTTCATAATATCTAATCGTCAAGTCACATAAACGCTGTACATAAAACTGATATAATCTTGACTTTTCAAGGAATTTAAGCACATTAGAAAAAAAATCAAAAAGTAATTAATCATTGACAATCAAAAAAAAATCAAGACATTTGGCAACGAAAGAATAAGTCCAATTTTATACAAATCGTTCAATATCGAGAGTGTTAGAGCGTCGAGCCTTTTTTAGTACGATGGTTTCTTCTGAAGTAGCCATTTTTTAAAGTGTGGTAGTCTTGAAGTACAAAATTGTTTTACAAGTCAAGGCATATAAGGCAACTAGCGGGGAAAGAGACTCAATCTGCAGCAAAAGGATCCTTTCTCCTCTCCCTTCTCTTTCTCTCCTCGCAAATAAAATCGCTTGATCGCTAGAGTCAACTTTCAAAATTTAGATAACGATTCAAACAGTTACTCTCTCTCAACGATAAATCTTTCTATCCGAGCTCGTGAACGAAAATCCGAGCATAAAATGTCTTGAAAACAGTACTTTTTAAACTTGTGTAAAAGAAAGTTTTTGGTCTTACATATGCGTGAGTGGAACGGTACCGTTCACACCAACACCGCTCGTAGATGTTACACTGGTACCGTGATACGCCGCTGCGGCAGCCTGTTGCATAGCATGTTGTCGTTGGACGTTCGGGTCGTTGGCGTCGCCAGGGAGGTACATGTTGATCATATCACGAAGCGACGAATCGCCGGGCATGGGTCGCCCGCCAGCGGAGACGGCGGTGGCTGCTGACTGCGTTCGCTCTGTTGGCATCGACGCTTGTTCGGACTTGGCGGCTGAGGTGCCTGACGGTGCGTGGTGCATCATTGCCGCCTGGCTGTAGGCGGCCGAGTAGTTGGCAGCGGCGGGGCTGAGGTACGATGCGGCATGGGTGGTGGACATAGCAGGGTAGCCTAGCTGGGCCATGTCATACCTGTGATGAAGTCCACTGTTGGCCATTTGTGCAGCTTGATGCGCCCCGTAAGAATGCGATGGTAGGTGAGATAGCTGGTCCTGCATCATACTTGGGTACCCGTTCATGTAGCCGTTGAGGTGCTGGTAGCCGTGCATACCGTCTCCTACCCCTCTCTGAACAGGTGCGCCGGTCTGTGGATTGATGATACCTGGAAGGGTAAACTTGTCCTTCTTCAACAGGGTCTTGGTCTTACGTCGGGGCCTGTACTTGTAGTCCGGATGCTCCTTCATATGCACCGCTCGAAGTCGTTTCGCCTCATCGATAAACGGCCTCTTTTCGTCCTCAGACAGCAACTTCCACTCGGCTCCTAACCTTTTGCTTATCTCAGAATTGTGCATTTTGGGGTTCTCTTGCGATAGCTTTCTGCGTTGTCCTCTTGACCACACCATAAAAGCGTTCATGGGCCTTTTTACTCTGTCCGGGTTGTTGTTGGGGTTGCTGTTGTTCTTGTTGCCTCCCATGCCAGCCGGGCCGTTCCCCATGACGGAAGCCTGCGTGAGCCCGACGTGATGGGCCATGCCTGGGATAGAACTTGCCATGACGTTCACAGAATGCTTCAACTCCGGTTGTTCGTGCACACCAGGAACAGACATTTTGGTCAGTCTCTTTGAAATGAACGACGAAAAGAAATAATGACAAGTCTCTCGATGGAGAATGCTTAAATGCTAAACTGTTCAAAGTTAGGTTGGTAGTCTTTAGAGAGCCTTGCTGTTTGTAATGTTGACTACCAGAGCTCAACACAAAATATGACAGCATCGACAGTAGCGGCTCGTTATTTTTAGCGTGCCGTGGACTCTGCCCTCCATACGATATTGATTGCCTTTCAGTCTAATTATGCAAGGAGTTGTCCAATCACGGCCGGGTCGGGCGCCGGGCTTCGTGTATTGTAATGCAACCAATGCCCCCTGACGTCACGACCACTGACAGGTGACGTAGCTAATTGAATTCGCGCGCCTTTGTTATGCAGAGTATAGAATGCTCCGGGGTGGAGCTCACTATGGAAAGCGCGCGGAAAGGGATGAAGCATCTGTGGTATTCGGACCAATAAGAGCTCGGCCATGCTCTGTCTCATGAATAACAACACGCTTGAACGGGTCATTAAGATCGGCTTGCAGCGCAGCGCAGGTGGGCCCAAAATCCCGAATGAGGGGGTACGTTCTTTTCCCCGACAGAGGCAACGAAAAAAAAATCCTCCTGTTTTTCCTTTTCTTGAAAAAAAAAAGCAACCCATCTCGGAGTGCCAATCATATGCCACAAACTCAAACCTCATCAGTTTGAAGTCCATTTCAGATACAGACCACAAGAAAGTCAACAGTTATAAAATGCAGTGAATGCACATCAGTTCATATTTATATACTATCCATAAATACATGTGCTTTTTCAAATAGTTTTATATTTATTCCATCATTGACCAATACTTTCAATATTCTACATTCGCAATAACTTGTTCACCCGTATTAGTAAATCAAATTAATGTTTTAAAAATTAAATTAAAACAAATTACATTCATATTTTTTTCCTTGCAACTATAAGTGATATGCTATGTTTTTTACACTGGATCCGAAACATTAACTGACCACCTTCGTCTTTGAGAATATTCACTTTCGGAAACCAAGAGAAATAATAATAATAAAAATAAATAAAAATAAATACTGATAAAATGAAACTCAACCATTAGTAGGGGATCTTAATTCTGGATATTTTTTGGGGAGAAAAGTAATCAGTGTCATGTCTGAGGTTTCCCTTTAAGTTGTAAGTGAAACCTTTTAGCCATAACCTCTTGAGCCAGCCCTAGAGTCCAAGCAACTTTGTCAAAAACAAACAAGAGAAAAATCTCGTGAAGGGGTCGGAAAATCCTCAACCAAAATCCACTAGGCAAACGAAAGGCATAAGAAGAAACTTCAATAAAGAACCTTGTCTATCCCCATTTAAAACCAAGAGATGGGGAGGGGAAGGGGAGGGTAGGGGGGAGAGAGAGAGAGAGAGAGAGAGGGAGAGAGAAGGGGGAGAGGAATAGAAAACAAGAGAGACAATATATTATGAAAAATGAAATACCCTTAGTGATAAATAATATTAAATTTCCGCAGGATATTTGCATCTACATACTAAATGGGTAGAAATAGTGAAACCTTAAAAAAAATATAGACTGTAACGTGACATTTTCTAAAATGTTGCGGTGAAATTGAATTCGATGGTTATCGAGATTGGCAAGATTGTGGTGATGGTGGTGGGTAATATTGGTTGTGAGTGGGGGAGTAGTGGTAGTGGTGGTGAGGGTGGTGCTGCTATTGATGGTGATGCTGGTGGTGGTGGTGGTGGTGGTAGTGGTAATGATGACGATAATAATGAAAATTATATCATTATAAAGATGGGGATATTATTAGTCATTAAAGACGATGATGTGCTTTACTGAGAAGAGCACACTTACAAATGTACACCATCATGTAGGCCTATTATTTTAGGAAAAAAGTCACTTGTATACGCAAAATGAAATTGTTATCTTATAAATACATTGCATACTATGCTTGCAAATCTGATGAAAGAAATGTTTGGTAAATGGCCACATTTTTTTCTTCTTCAATGAACTGCACCTTTGAATGTTTTAATGGCGCCTTTTGAAATCATCATCACCTTCATCATCATTATCATCATCATCACTAACATTGAGATAATCACTCCTTCTTTCTTACCAATCAAATTAAACAAGCATATTAAGCATATTAACTACCCTGAATATACATTTTCGCTTCGTTTACTATCGAGAAGATATGTGTAAGATCATGCTCAGAAAATTGATACAAATTGAAAATTGTAGAAGGGGAAATTCCCCGTCAGTTTAGAAAACTAACATCTTAACTCTGCTTTCCTTTAGCTTCTGAAAATGCTTTTGAATTCATGCTGAAAAGGTAACATTATATCACACGGCAGGCCATCGGCAGCAGGTAAGAACGAATTAATAGGATCAAATACATGAAAGGAGGGTTTGGTCTTTTCCGCCACGTGTTGGCACAATACGTTCTTGTGCAAAATGTCAATAAATACCATTATTGCACCTAGTCCTATGTATAGAGATTTTTGTTGTGACGGGAAAGCTGGATACAATACTAAGTTGATTTGGGTAACTATTCTCCCTTTTCTTCGTATAGAATAGAAATCTCGAGTGAAAAGCAGCACGCGTGTAGTAGGAGCAAACACAGGACCAATGGAAATTGTATTTTTGGAACAGTTTTTCTGCCCACCGCGCGCATTGTGTTTGAGAATTTACTCTGTCGCCACTAGGAGCATTTTCTTTTGAAGAGAGTGGTAGCTTACAAGGGCGGAGTTTTTGTTAGGGCTTGTGAATGGGCTTTATAGCAACACACACGTGGGACTATTGAGTCGATCTTGTACTATGGACTACTATGAAGGTCTCGCTCTTGTGTTCCGATCTTTCTTTCCCTCCCATTCCCCTCCTCCCTTTATGAGAAGCACTCAAAAGAACACAGACACAACTTGCGATAAAAGAGATTGTTTAATGAGGTCTTTCAGCCAGTGACAACTATAAACAGCTACTATGAAATAAAGTGTGTCTTGTAATGAATGGCCCAGTCGTGTGGCCTAACTTTATCTTATCAATTGGTCGTCTGCGAGATGCAAAGCTCAAACAACCGACTTTTAATAATGGCGTAAGTCGCGTTTAACGAGTGTGTCTGTTTGCAAAAGATTCAAATCTCTGATAACCCTCACCTCAAATGACAAGGTGTGATCTACACCAGGCTAAACGGCCAGACGATCTCAGACGGTGGCGGATAAAGGGATGGGGGCGGTAACCCTTCCCCTTTTGAAACCCAATTGACATACCTTTCGTATACAAGTCCTGAACTGTGCTGCCCCACATTACTTATTAGGTGATAGCCCTTTTTTCTTTTCCTTTTTGTTGATGTTGTTCATCAGCAAATTTTGTTTTAGAACTGATATGCCCCCTATATTACAAAATCTTGGTTCTCCCCTTATCTTAATCATAAACAAACATTAAGCTAAGAACTGATCAAGGTAAGCCCTTAATCGTGAGATAACAGATATCAACACTTTAACCACTGCTTGGCGTGCGTCCGTCAAAGGAAATCGGATACTATAATTGCTTAATTGAAAGATTTTGTTTTCTGATTGAACGGATTACGACAATGTCTTTTTACTTTGACACCATGTAAAATATCACGATAAGAACAACAGCTACATAATATCCACATTAAAGAAGATATGGTTCAATGTTGACATGTCGAACTAATTGTGCTTACATGATAATTACTGTCAAGAACTTAATCCCAAATGTTGTGGTCTTATAACATTAAGGCTCACTTTGTTTCTTTGTTGCTGTTGTTGTTTTAAAGCAAACGTCAATATCTCTCAATTTTATGACATTATAAAACTTGAAGGACGTTAATGATGCCGGAACGGGTGTTCCTTTTTAAGGTGAACATTTTCCTTGATCTGGTACTGTAGTATAGTATTAATGACTGCTTTGAGAGAAATAGTTGTTTTATTACGCTCAAGGGAAGGTTAGAATTGTGCTATTCCCCGAGGCTTGCCGAGGGGAATAGCCCAATTCTAACCTTCCCGAGAGCGTATGAAAACAACTATTTCTCGAATATTAAAGCAGTCATTAATACTTTTATATGCCGAAAAAAAATAGACTAAAAAATGAAAAATTAAAAATATTTATCAATTTTGTCGAAGACGGGATCCGAACTCTTGCGTACAACAAGAGATGTACCGAAAACCAACGCTTAGACCACTCGGCTATGGCCCGCCGTTAACATGCTTGGCAGTTTTTTCCAATATATACATTAAAATGGATTGAAACCGGCTTCGCGTGTGATGAATGCTTCGCAAAAGCTCCATATACTTATACGGACTCTTCTTTTACTTTTGCAATGCATATTGGCACGAACTTAGATCAAGATCTATCGGCAGATGTTGTTTTTTTGTTTTTGGAAGTTTATTTTCGTCTTCATGTCAACAATGCAAGATAAAATTGTCGGTAAGATCGATCGAGATTCAATTGTATTGAAATTACCGACCAATCCTTCGCACACATACGGCATCCTCCATCGCTCAAACCATTTTTTAACATGTAAACCTATGGGGTAACCATGGACGCTGACCAACTTTTTTAATAACCATGGTTATTAAAAATATTGAAATGTTTTATGCATGGTTACCGAGAATTTTACAGGAACAGTTGAAGTTTATGAATGCAATTCGACCAATCAGATGGCTGGATTTCTTAAGTGAGGTATATAACGTAGGCTATAATTAGGTGAATATGTTAATACCGAAATGCTGTACGATTAAAACTTAATATCATAGATAATGAAGTCTTGCTTTCCCATGTCTATGACCGTTCTGTTTCACTCTGTCTAACATTTTGAATTGGTTCATATGATAATGGCATAATACTGGTCCTGATGGTAAAATAGATTTAACTGCGATTTCCACGGCTGTTAACTTGGTTAAACACCAAATAGTCGGAGCAACACCTGCTCTCTTTCCCATTCGAAAAAAACACACTATTTAGGTTAACATCGTTAATAAGTTGTTGGTTATTACTTCGGGGTGGAAAAATGTATATTTGAGTTTATAATTTC